AAGAGTCTCTTATGGTTTGCCTCCCTCTCTCATTTTATCTTATTTTTCCTTTCCTTCCCCTGTGTTCATCTGTTTTGTTTCTTAAATTCCACATATGAGTGAAATCATGGTATTTGTCTTTCTCTGACTGACTTATTTAGCTTAGCATAATACACTCTAGTTCCATCCACATTGTTGGAAATGGCTAGATTTCATTCTTTTTGATTGCCAAGTGATATTCCATTGTATATATACACTATATCTTCTTTATCCTTTAATCAGTTGATGGACATTTGGGCTCTTTCCATAATTTGGGTATTGTTGATAGTGCTGCTATAAACATTGGGGTGCATGTACCCCTATGAATCAACATGAATATATTAATAAAAGAGAGAAATCGTACAAATACAATTATGGAAAATATTTTACTTCATGTATTCAATACTAATATACTCATTATAAAACTAAAAAAGTAGGGTCATCTGGTGGTGGAGTTACTTCAGCTTCTGACTCTTGATTTGGGCTCAGGTCATGATCTCATGGTTCGTGGGATTGAGCTCTGTGTCAGGCTCTGCACTGACAGCATGGAGTCTGCTTGGGATTATGTCTCTGCTCTCTCTCTGTGCTCCTCCCACTTTCTCTCTCTCTCTCTCAAAATAAATAAACATTAAGAAAAACTAAAAAAGCAAAAAATGTGTGAAATGTTTTAATGTAATATGACCTCTTACTAAAAGCTAAAGGAAAAATACTGAGACAGGACCTTATAAATAATATCTTTAAAACCACAGAGTTACGGGACACCTGGGTGACTCAGTCACTTGAGCGCCTGACTTTGGCTCAGGTCATGATCTCACCATTTGTGGGTTTGAGCCCCACATTGGGCTCTGTGCTGACAGCTTGGAGCCTGGAGCCTGCTTCAGATTCTGTGTCTCCCTCTCTCTCTGCCCCTCCCCCGCTCATGCTCTGTCTCTGTCTCTCAAAAATGAATAAACGTTAGGGGCGCCTGGGTGGCTCAGTCGTTGAGTGTCCGACTTTGGCTCAGGTCATGATCTCGTGGTTTGTGAGTTCGAGCCCTGCGTCGGGCTCTGTGCTGACAGCTCAGAGCCTGGAGCCTGCCTCAGATTCTGTGCAAACCCCCCCTCTCTACCCGCCCCACCCCTGCTTGTACTCTGTCTCTCTCTTTCAAAAATGAATAAACATAACAAAAAATTTTTTAATGAATTAACATTAAAAAATATATATTTAAAACCACAAAGTCACACATGAAAGTTAAATCTTTTTATACATCATGCTGAATTTCTAGAAAAGGTGTAGAAGTAATGTCTGTTAAATCTATAAATGATGCTATATTTATTGGAGGAGGCCTCACATTTCAAATCTGATGTCCCCTGTTACATATATGGAGCTTTATTTATTTTTTATTTATTTATTTAACGTTTATTTATTTTTGAGACAGAAAGAGACAGAGCATGAACGGGGGAGGGTCAAAGAGAGGGAGACACAGAATCTGAAACAGGCTCCAGGCTCTGAGCTGTCAGCACAGAGCCCGACGTGGGGCTCGAACTCACGGACCACGAAATCACGACCTGAGCTGAAGTCGGCCGCTCAACCGACTGAGCCACCCAGGCGCCCCTATATATGGAGCTTTAAATACTATAGATCAGGGGACAGCAAACTGTGGCCCCTGGGCCAAATCCAGCCTGTACCTGTTTTTATAAATAAAATTTTATTGGAACACAGTCACATCTATTTGTTTATATATGGTCCATGTCTGCTTTCGTTGTATGAAGGCAAAGTTGAGTAGTTGTGACACAGCCTGTATAGCTTGTACAGCTTTTAGGGCTGCTATAAGAAAACATCACAGAATGGATCAAACAACCGAAATTTAATTTAGGAGGCTAATGTCCAAGATCAAGGTGCCAGTGGGTTTGGTTTCTTCTGAGTCTCCTCTCCTTGTCTTAGAGATGGCCATCTTCTTGCTGTGTCCTTACATGGCCTTTCCTCTGTGCACTTATCCTTGGTGTCTCTTCCTCTTCTTATAAGAACACTGGTCCTTTTGGATTAGGGCCCCACCTTATGACCTCACTTAACTATAATCACATCTTGAAAAGCCCTGTCTTTAAATATAGTCACATTGGGGTTCAGGAATTTGTTTTTAATTTGTTCAGATTGCTGTAACAGATATACTGTAGACTGGGTGGCTTAAAACAACAGAAATTTCTCACAGTTCTGGAGAGTGGAAAGTCTCAGGTCAAGCTATTGGCAGAGTCAGTGTTTGGTGAGAGTCCATTTCCAAGTTCATAGATGGCCATCTTTTTGTTGCGACCTCACATGGTGGGAAAGATGAGGGATCTCTCTGGGGTCTCTTTTATAAGGGTACTAATCCTATTGATGAGACTTTACTTTCATGACCCAATCACCTCCCAAAGTTCCCCACTTCCTAGTACCATTACTTTTGAGGTCAGGATTTCTTTTTTTTTTTTTTTTTAAGTTTATTTACTTATTATTTTGAGAGAGAGCATGTGCAAGTGGGGGAGGATCAGAGAGAGGGAGAAAGAGAATCCCAAGCACACTCTGCCTGTCAGCATGGAGCCTGATGCAAAGCTCAAACTCATGAACCTTGAGGTCAGGACCTGAGCCAAAGTCAGATGCTTAACCAACCGAGCCACCGACACGCCCAGAGGTCAGGATTTCAACATGAGTTTTGTAGTACACAAACATTCAGACCATAGCAGGCTTCAACATGTATTTGGAGGGAACACAATTCAGATAATAACAAGCCTGTGAAACCTAAAATACTATCTAGCCCTTTACGGAATAAATTTCCTGAACTTGAGGGTGTGCATAATAAACTATAATATGTCAACATTCTACACTGTATACAAATATCTTTAAAAAAGCAAAGCTTGTAAATTAGGCAACACAATAGTCCTAAACTGTACCATATAGAGAACTTACTTGTTTTGTAATTGAATTGTTTTGCAAAAACTAGAGAAGGTGTCTTTTTCCTGAAAAATAGAAGGCAGAAGTGTTTTTCTGAAGATAATTTTATGTCTTCTCTAATTGATTATTTTTGTAGCAAACGCTGTTAAGGTAACCTCCTATTTCTCCCATTGGTGAAAGTGAAATCCCCCACCCTGCATAATATAAGACAGCTAAATGCATGACACCTGACACTGGCCTGATGCCTGAAAGAAGTTTATTACTCACATATATTCACAGCTGAGGGAAAGAAACCACACAAACACCACGCGTAGGTTGCACTCAGGAACAGAGCAAACCATTAGGAGTAATGGGAGGCAGCAAGAGAGTGAGCTGTTACCTGGTTTCTACCAGAGAATGTGATTAGCTCCTGTGAATAATTCATGGGCTAGCAGGGTGAGGTGAGGATAGGACAATGATAGTGAAACTACAACACCTTAAATTCATATTATACTACTTTACAGAAAACAAAGTTATAATTTCATTTACTCCCCTTTACCTGGATTTACCTGGATTAGGAGCCTTTCCTGTCGGACAAGGAGCATGTTGGCAAAAGCAGAGGAATCCACGTTTTGGCCTGGGGGGCCCTGTGTGGCTCAAAGATGTTCAGGCAATGTGTGAAATTTTAATTCTTACACACAACATTAGAAACAAAATTTGTCAGGGGAAACTTTCAGTCTTAGACTACCAATCTAATTTGCCTTACCACTAGCAAACCCTCATTACACCAACTTTTTCACATAACTTTTTCAACTTCATTCTTCTTCCAAATAATCCCAACCTTTTTTGATCCTTTGCTTTTCTGTTAAAATTTTAAAGTGAGCCTGTCCATGTCTACCCATAAAAAATGTCTTATTTTCTCAAATGATTTTTTTCCTTATCGAGGACATTTTTTTCTCATTTACTCTGCTAATTAAGCTAATTACATTGACTGATTTTGAAATGTTAAACTAATTCGCATTCCTTGAATAAACTCCACTTGGTCATGATATATTATCCTTTCTAAAGTATTGCTGGATTGGATTTGCTAATATTTGAAGACTTTCACTTCTGTGTTCTTGTGTCATTGTTCTGTAATTTTCTTTCTTTGCAATGTTCTTGTCAGATTTTGGCATTAGGAT